AAATGTTGTGACGCTGAGTGTCAATGCCAACCTCCTATCAATGGTTTTTCATTCATGGAATTTTAAAAGATTTTTTCAGATAAAAAATCTCACAAATTTTAAAAGACTATTTAGAATTGAGGGACTTTAAAGAGTTTTTTAAAAGACTTTTTTTACAATCAAGATTTCATAAGATTGGATTTAAAAGGATTTTAATAGAATTTATAAGATTTGAAAGGACAATATGGATTTATAAGATTTTAAAAAATCATATGAATTTTTAACAAACATTCAAAATTACAAAAGTCAATAAAAAAATAAAAAATAAATGCAATGAAATTAATAAAAAAAAGTAAACTTAATATAATTTTCTCAATCAGTAAAACATAATATATTTTTTAACAAACATTCAAAATTACTAAGCAACAGCTTTTCACATATCTAAAGTTATACTACTCCTCCATGCATTAGAATTTTCTCGTTCCTACTCTTGGGTTTGACCAATGGGTTGAAAATTATCTTCTTCATTTGGTATCAAAGCTATACATATATGATTATAAGACCTAATTTTTTTAATTATTAAAATAATTCTAAATTTGCATATAGAATCTAAAGTTCATGATAACATTTCGTTTTGAATTTTTTGCAATTGATCTTGAAAACCTTGAGGTTTTTGTTCTACGTGGTGACAGTTTTTTAACCATATATCATATGCATATTTTCATTGAATATTCTAAGAAAATTTCGAATCTGAATTTTTAGGTTTTATTATATGAAAGTTTAGAAAATTTCTTAAATTTTTTTTCAAAATCGATACATTGAAACCTTAAATTGCTTTGGGGCTTTTGAAAAACAAGTTTCTAATTATCTATTGACACAAAAATTGTTTGAAATCGTTTCCTATAGTGAAAGAATTTCGTTCATGAATGTTTTGTTATGAAATATAGGGTTCATATTATGAAAGTTTCAATCTTTCTTTAATGTGAACATGTTAGGCTAAGTTTATTTATGTAGTTAGGATTACGGATCCAGTGTGAATCCTAGTTATGGTTTAATTTAGTTTCTTTAATAAATTATTTCAGTATTTGTATTTTACCTTGCATGAATTCCTATATATATCCTTGTATGAACTGATCACTCTTATAGGAATTTGAGGGTTAGGGCTCGCAATAGACATATTGGGATTTTAATCCTGACTAGGGTAAAATACCAATTCTTGTATGACCTAGACATAGGCTTGCTTGAGTTGTAGACTTCATAATTCATCGCGTTTAATGCTAATTCTAAGAGGGATTACTAAGACATTAGGATTCCAATTAGAGTAAAGGGTTAAAGTCACTAAGACATTAGGATTTAACCAATTATTTTTAGAAGATGAATTGTTTGAAATATCTGAGGTAAATTATTATTGAAATTAATTTAAATTACTCTAGGAGGATCTGAGGTGAAATAATTCTTAAATGCATCTTTTGTTTTTGATATTCTAAATTTAATACTCAATTCTTGCGTTCTTGATGTTCTTGATATTTACTGCAATTAATTTTTGTTTTATTTTAAATTCAAAAATTATTCTATTTTCCAAATCAATTCGAGTTTTCCAAATTAAGGAGAATAGTTATAATAGTATTTGGCACATTAATCCTCGTGGGACGATATTCTTTCTCACTACTTTATTACTTGAAACGATTGATATACTTGCTGTAGTGGCAACAATCCCTTTCTCCCTCATCTCTCTAAAACGCTCCAAACCATCATCCAAGAGTCCATTTTGGACATAACCCATCATCATATAGTGCTCCAAGAGATAACATCTCTCTCAGGAATTTCATCAATCATCTTCTCCGCAACAGGTTGTTGTTGCTGCTCGTGCAACTTCAATTACTTTTATGTTAGTTATGTTTGAGGATAATATAAATTAACTAAATGTGCTTCAGAAAACAGACATTAGAATCGAAAAGAGTTTATACAAAAATAACATATGCAGCACAACTGTTCTAATCTATTTCATTCACTTACAACATACACACATATAAATTATGATCATAAAAGGCTTGTTCTATCAAACCTGGGAAGTCTTAGCGTTTACAATCTTCCACGATATAGATAACTTTCAATGTTGTGATTTTAAGAATTGATTGGATTGAACACGTGAGGGATTTCTGCTATCATGTGCAGCTACATACTATAAACATTCATGAATTCATTTAAGTTTTTTTGAACATCCAATTTAAAAGTGGACAAACTTATACAAATGCTTAGCTTGTGTTAAAAAATAAATGATAAATAAAGTATGAAAAATAACTGTTCACATCTGTATGATTGCTTCCAAACAATTTTGAAGAAGTAAACAGTAATATTTTAATACAACAAGTATAATTTTAATTTATATAATTAGTTGCACCTGCCTCTCTTCTATATTTTAGCATTAAAATATAATTTTAATTTGATCCGACATGCTTGAAATGTATTTCACAAAGATCGTTGTCACGTATTTTATCACGTGTACAAAATTCATATTTCTATAAATTGCTATATTTATAGTTGTTGCCAACAAATTGAAGTTAACTAAGAATTACGTGATCGCTCTGCTTTTGTTCTTTTATATTTCGAACGACAAAAGTCAAATATACTTATTAATGTGGCTACAAATTTGTAAATCTTATGCACCGACTATACATTCTGCTTGGATATTTTCAGATTATTTGTTAACATGATAATGATAAACTATTAGAGAAAAAATATAAAAATACATTCAGATTATTTGTTAACATGAATCAACTTAGATATGAGAGCTTGAACATCTTTCCTCACGAGCACATATGAAGAGATTTGTTGGGTGCATAAATAGGGGTGTAAATATAGTAGGTTGAGCTAGGTTTTGCCTTAAATAAGTTAGATCTGTGTAAAATTATTGGGTTTGACCTGGCCTGTCAACCTGTATGGGTTCCGAATTACAAGTATGGTCTGACCCATATTTAAAAAATAAAAAATTTGACCTATGCCTGTTAGCCTGTTTAAGTCTATTAAATATTCAATAATTAAAAGAATAATTAAAATAATATTATTTATAAAATTATTTATTTTATTTAAAATAAATAATATGATATAGGCCGCTTGTAGGCTTATAGGCCCGACATGTACAAAAAACCTATGGCCTATTTTCTAAATAAGTTTTTTTAAAAGCTATGTCTGTTCTATTTTACTATTTGTAATAGACCAAGCTTAGCCTAATATAGGTTAGGCCGTAGGCCCATATAGGCTGACCTAGCTCATTTACACCCCTATCAATAACCCATGATAGACCAGGCTCAATGAACAAAGTTGTCGTAGTTCTCAAGTTTAAGAGGGATCACTTCCCAATTACTAAAGAACATTCACAGAAGGACAAAGGTAATTAAGAGAGTGGGCGCGTGGAGCGCGTGTTAATCTTGTTAAAGGCTCTGCTAGGGTTTTTTCGTTCGTATGGTTGTCAAAGGGGGTAGATCCCCCAATTCTGAGGGGGATACATTAATTAATAGGGAACCGAAGAAAGCTAAGGGGGAAGCCGGCATGGATCTGGACATGCATGATGAATCTCCGTGTGCGGGCGCCATGGAGGTTGAAGCTGACGATGAAAAACTGAAGAGAGGAGTGGGTGGATCAGAGCCTTCTCCCGGTACGGAAGAAGAAGTGAGACGCGATCCTCGGAAGTTGGTTTCCTATAAGGATCACCTCCTTCGCGTGAATGGTGTTTGGGATGGAAACCCAGAGGAAGAAGATGATGACTGGTTGGCTCAGTGCAAACGTGAGGAAGTCGAGGAAGAGGAAGCAATGAAGGCATATAAACAAACAGGGGAAGACGATCCTTTGAACCCGTACTACCAGTTCGATGTTCTTTAGAAACTGGAGCAATGTAGAAGATGGAGGAAGGCTCTCATAGTTAAACTCATGGGAAAGAAGATTGGAGCAAGAATTCTTTGGAACAGGCTTCACAAACTCTGGAATCTGGAGGGGGAGTACAAAGTCCTTGATCTGGAGAATGACCACTATATGGTCGAATTTGAGAAAACTCAGGATTATGTGTTCGTGCAACAGCAGGGGCCATGGATCGTTGCAAATCATTATCTCATTGTTCAAAGGTGGAGGCCGAATTTTGACCCATATAACGACAGAGTGAAGAAACTGGCGGTTTGGATTAGAATCCCTGGAGTCCCAAGGGAGTTCTACACGCACAAAGATCTGTGGAGAATGGGCAACATGGTGGGTCGTACCCTGAGAATTGATGAGAGCTCCCTCAGGATCAGTGGACAAGGTCAGTTAGAAGAAATTACTGACAGAGGTAGGTTTGCCCGCATCTGTGTTGAAATAGACTTGAGCAAGAGTCTATTATCCAAGTTCAGAATCGGACAGAGACAACTGTATATAAGGTACGAAGGCTTGCATCAAATTTGTTTCCTGTGTGGCCAATATGGCCACAAGGGGGATCAGTGCCCTTTAAATCCTGAGAATATGAAGCATGCTGAAGATACAAAAGGTGAGGAGGCTCCTTGCCAACAGGCTGATTAGGGGAACAAAACAGTGGTAATCGAGGAAGAGATTGAGAAAAGCCAAGAAGTAAATGGTTTTGGCAATTGGATGACTGTTCAGAGAAGGAATAAAAAGAGGCCTATGCCATACCAGAAGCCAAAGGAGATAAGTATGGGTAAGGTTCCTGATTCGAGGAATACGGGCCTGAATCTTAAAAATAAAAGTTCTGATTCTAGGTTTGGTCCTCTGGAAGAAGATAAAGAAGGAGGATCCCAAGACCAGTTGGGAAACAGCTCAATCCCGGATAATGGGGGAATGGTGTCTGATGACTCAAGTCAGCAGAGAAGGAACCGAGGAGGAAAGAAAAAGAAAAGTACTACTGATAGAAACATCTCAAAACAGAAACAAGGAAGTGAAGTAGTGGGCTCGGGGAAACAGGTGAGCAACTCATCTTCTAAAGAATTTTCTAAGAGTTCTATCCAAAAGGTGCCAATAGGGTAACTATACGGGTATACATGGGGATTATCAGGGGTAGTGTTCAGGGGGAAACTTCATTGGGGTCAAAGAATTTGGGTGATGATGTTACTCCAAAAGGTGATAGAGGAAGTGAGACAGGACTTGGAAATAAGTCCAATCCTGGACTAAAGGAGAATCCACCAGATGGTAGTGGGGAAGGTAAAGAAGGTTTCCAATAGGGGAGAACTGCAATGGTTCTTGATGATATAATGAATGATATAGGTATCAGGGATATCCCTATTGTTCTGGGTTAATGACTTTGTCATGTTCTGTACTTTTCATCCCTTTTGATGATTGTGTGTACATGGAACTGTAGAGGAGCAGGGAAAAAAGGGTTCTCAGCTCTTATTAAGGATATGGTTTTCCAGAACAAAATCCAAGTTCTGGTACTGTTGGAAACAAGGATCAGTGGCAGTAAAGCTGATAGGGTTGTTAGAAGCCTAGGTTTTGATAATTTCTTCATACGTGAAGCTGTAGGATTTTCAGGGGGAATCTGGATTCTTTGGAATAAAAGCATGACTAGTATTAGTATCTTGGAGGAAGATCACCAGTTCGTGCATTCAAAAATAACCTGGTTAAATTCGGGAATTGAAGAATATTTTACTTTCATTTATGGAAGTCCTAGAAGACCTAAGAGGAGAGTCCTTTGGGAAGGTTTGAGGAATATAGCAGCTACTGTTGAAGGGAAGTGGGCGGCTATGGGAGATTTTAATGCCTATATGCAAGAGGGGGAGAAACAAGGTGGTGCTATTGTTAATAGGGAGAGTGTCCAAGACTTTGTTACTTTCCTGAGTGAATGTGGCCTATCTGATCCTGGGTTCTCTGGACCGAAGTTTACTTGGAAGAGAGGAGCCTTCCAGGAAAGATTAGACAGGTTGGTGGGGAATGAAGAGTGGTTTCAGGGGTTCCCTAATAGGTCTATCTTCCACCTACATTTCCATGGGTCGGATCATAGGCCTATTGTCCTAAGAAATGAGAGTAAGAAGGGGGATCTTAGAGGCATAAAACCTTTTAGATTTCTAGCTGCTTGGGTGATAAATGACAGCTTTGGTGAAGAGGTGGATAATTGCTGGGAAAATGAGACTAGTTGGATTCGGGCCAAAGATAAATTCCAGAGGGATGCATCTGCTTGGCACCATAATATTTTCAAGATAGAGAAGAAAAGAAAGTTCAAACTTCAAAGAAGAATTAAGGGGGTGGACTCTCAACTCAGTAGGGGCCTTGATGAGGCTTTGGAAAGGCTTCATAAGGATCTTTGGTTTGAATTGAATACCATATATATCCATGAAGAACTTTCATGGTTCCAGAGGTCAAGGAGTAATTGGTTGGCCTTTGGTGACAGGAACTCCAAGTTATTTCATGCGGCTACAGTGGCTCGAACCAGGAAGAATAAGATTGGAGATCTGAAAAAAAAATGATGGGGAATGGGTGGAGGATCCTGAGAAGGTTAAAGATATGGCTATTGGTTTTTTTAAGAACCTGTATGCAATGGATGATCAAGTGAGTCCTAGCTTGGGCAGTCTGAATAGTTTTCCAATAATTGATAGTGAAAAGTGGTGTAAGATTGGAGAGACCCCTGTTATGGAGGAAATTAGAAGGACAATTTTTGAGATGAATCCTTTTAAAGCCCCGGGTTTTGATGGCCTCTATGTTATCTTCTTTCATTCAAATTAGGGTAAGGTGGGCAATTCTGTGTATAAGCTTGTTAAAGAAGCCTGCGAAGAACCTGAGGCAGTGGCAAAAATAAATCGAACCCTCATTTGTTTGATTCCGAAGGTGGACCACCCTGAAATGATAAGTCAATCCAGACTTATTAGTTTATGCAATGTTATATACAAGGGAATCACAAAGCTGATAGCATCCAGGCTCAGAAGTCACATGAGCTCACTGGTCATACCAAACCAGTGTAGTTTTGTTAAAGGCAGGCATGCCACTGACAATATTATCATAAGTCAGGAAATCTTTCACTCTATGAGGTCCAAGAAAGGAAGGAAAGGGTGGATGGCTGTAAAGGTTGATTTGGAGAAAGCTTATGACAGGGTGAGTTGGGCTTTTCTGGAGGAGACTTTGGTGTTAACAGGCTTGCCAAACTCGCTTGTGAGGCTTATTATGGCTTGTGTCTCAACTCCATCAATGAACATTCTATGGAATGGAGCTCTAACTAAAGAATTCACACCCTCAAGAGGAATCAGGCAAGGTAACCCTTTATCCCCCTATCTTTTTGTGTTATGCATGGAAAGGTTAGGACATTTGATCAACAATGCTGTGGAGGAAAAAAATGGAAACCTGTGAAGATGGGAAAGAATGGGGTTCCAATTTCCCATTTATTCTTTGCAGATGATCTGCTTATTTTCTCAGAAGCAAATGGGGTCCAAGCTGAGCTGATCTCTCTAGTATTTTGAGTCAATTCTGTCTAGCATCTGGTCAGAAAGTTAGCAATAGCAAAACTAGGTGCTGCTTTTCAAGGAATGTGAATCATACAAGAAGATCCGAGCTGAGTTAAGCCATGAATTTTACTATTGCGTCTAATCTTGGAAAGTATCTTGGGATCCCCATTTTTCATAAGAGGGTGAACAAGGATACTTTCAGCTATATACTAGAGAAAACAAACAGTAGGTTGAATGCTTGGAAGGAGAAGTCCCTTTCTATGGTAGGAAGGGTGGTGTTAACTAAGGCAGTCCTTGATGCCCTCCCAATGTACTCCATGCAGACTTCTTTGATTCCTGCAAGCACCTGTGAAGCAGTGGAACAGAGGATGAGAGGATTTGTGTGGGGCTGCAACAGAGGACAGAGGAAGGTTCATGCATATCCTTGGAATGTAGTTTGTAGAGCAAAGAAATGTAGAGGCTTGGGTATTAGAAACCTAAAGATATCCAACAAGACCTGTATGATGAAAATAGGCCATGGTATTTTGACTCACAGGAATAGTCTCTGGGTGCAGGTGCTAAAAAATAAGTACAAGATGGGTGATGGTTTGCCCCTTATTATTCCAAAGAAATCTAGTTGTTCCAATCTCTGGATGGGCTTATCTCGGGTGTGGCCAAAGGTATTTGAAGGTTCTAGAATTATGGTGGGGAATGGTATGGGGAGCTCTTTCTGGAATGACAAATGGCTGCCAATAGGCCCTCTAAAAGACCATGTGAATCAGGAAATTCATGCTGAAGTGCGAGAGGCTAATGTAGTGGATATGGTCAATTCAAATGGTGAGTGGAATTGGCAGGAATTCAATTATTTGCTTAACCAAGAAGCTTTGAATCTGATTGCAGGTCATAGGCCTCCTGATAGGGATGAAGGGGAAGATAGGGTGGTTTGGAATCACTCCCAGGATGGAAATTTCTCGATTAAATCAACTTACAAGAACATTGGGCAAGGATGGTATGGAAGTCTTTTGTAAGGGAAGAGAACTGGGGTGAATTCTTTGGCCTTCCTCTCCACTCTTGGGTAACTATTAACCTGAGCAAAGAACATTGCATGTTGGATGGGGAGAATAGGAGTGTATTGTTTGGGCTGGTTTGCTGGTTTATATGGAAAGAAAGAAACAATTTTATCTTCGAGAAAGAAGTTCCCATTGAAGGTAGAACATCTAGAATGGCTTGTGTTTACCTGTCAAACTATGTTAATGAAAAATATCTGTATAGAAATGCTGGTTTGCATAATAAAGGCTGCAGAGAGTCTATGGTGAAATGGGTTTTTCCCCTTTTGGGTTGGATCAAGGTCAACACTGATGGATCTTCAAACGAGGGAAACCAGCAGGGTGGATGTGGTGGAGTGCTGAGGGATGAGGCTGGGGACTGGAAGATGGGATTTGCAAAGAAGCTTGGAACTTGCAACTCAGTTAAAGTCGAAGTCTAGGGGGTCTTTCTGGGCCTGCAAACTGCTTGGAACCTTGGGTTTAGAAGGGTCATCATTGAAGGTGATTCTCAAGTGGTTCTCAATATGATTAGTGATGGGGTAGCTGAAAATCATCCACTTGTGGGATTGCTCAAAAAGATTTCTCAGCTGAGGAATCGAGAATGGCAGGTGAAATTTGTCCATACTTTTAGAGAGGACAATGGGGTAGCTGATTGGCTTACAAACTATGCCACTTCATTAGGATGGGAGACTGTATTCTTTGAGTCTCCACCGGTTGGTTGTTTTGGAGTTTTTAATAGGGATTATAGAGGGGTAGCTTGGCCCGGTTTGATTAGGAATCTTTAAGTGTTTTTAATTTTCTTTGCTATTCAAAAAAAAAAAAAAAAAAAAAAACATTCACAGAAAAAGAAATCCAAAGGCCGAGTTGTTGGCAAGAGAGAGATATTTTTTTTGTGAGCGAAAACAATTATATGTCATTCCATTAGAGGGTGAGATAATCTTTATGCATTTCTATGGTTTTTATACCAAAGAGATAATATTGTAATCCCTTTTTTATTGTATAAGTTTTTTTGAACTAGGTCCCGTAACTTTTACTATGTACATTGAAAAGATTTTCATATTAAAAATTGGTGTGTGTTCTTTAGTAATTTTACACCTCTGTTTTCTTTTACGTTTTTGCTTTTAACACTTTCGCTAGGGGCTGTGGGCTCTAGGCTCCTCACAGTCAACTACAAAATTTTGTATGTTTTTGGTGTTTGCACCCCATTGATCGTTGTGCACCAATAATACTCTAAAAACATTTTTAGGATTCATGTGATCAAGAAAAAGGGGGCTGTAATGGAAAAGGGGGAATATAATCTTTATTTTCTTATATTTTATATTAGAATTTGCATTTGTCATTTAACATGATACAATAAATTTTTTTACACACACAACATTTTGTGGAGCCCATACTTTTTGAAGAAAAAAGAAAATTATGGCACGCGTAACGAATCTCTATAACATTACACAATCACTTTTCCTACAACATAACTCTTATAAAACCCTTTTATATTTAGTGAATAAATCAACAAATAAGAAAGATAAATGGGTCAAAAAGTGGATGTTCACATGACTCACCTACTAATTAGTTTAAATAATATTATTTAAAAATTAAAGATATTTTCATTCAAAAATAAAAATCTAAATCTAAATCAAATAAAAATTGATAATTTAAAGTAAATAATAAATAATAAAAGAAATCTAAATATTATATTTGATAAACAAATATATTCACTTTTTTTAACAATAAAAACATGACTGAAGAAGAAAAACAATATGATAAAAAACTATCTGATCTCAACCATAAGTAATCTATTTTATTACACACGAGTTCATAATTAATGCTAAAAGATTCAAAGCGCAACAATAATGATAAGAGAGAAGCTAAACTTTTTTAATGTTAAGCTTGAGGGATGCCTTCTGACATGCCATGGAAAAACGTGGACAGACATGTGGGAACGAAGATTTGAATATCTATAACAGCTCATCTTACATAGAAATAATACGATTTATACTATTTTTTAGTCGAGATCGTTCTTGCATATAAATAAAGGTCTGAGTTGATGCTCTCTCTTGTATATTAAAATCGTCCTTGCCCCATTTCTCTCCACCGTTATCCATGGCATTTGAGAAGGTATTCCTCAAATTTGACATGAAAGAAGTTGTACTAGTCAAACCATCAAAACCCACACCTTCTTCTATTCTTTCTATGTCAACATTTGACAATGAACCCGCCCATTATAGTCTTTGTCAAACGGTTCATGTATATAGATCAGCAAATCATGATACCCCTCATGGCCAAGTTCTAGACCCTGTTCATGTGATCAAAGAAGCACTCGCCAAGGTTTTGCTTTATTATTATCCTCTTGCAGGTAGGCTAGTGAAACACGTTGATGGAAAACTTAGAGTCAACTGCAATGCAGACGGTGTTCCATTCTTGGAGGCAATTGCTAACTGCGACCTTACTTCTCTTCATTACTTGGATGGCACTGACACAAAAACTGCGAAAAACTTGGTGCTTGATCTTCCTCATTCTCAAGACGAAAATGGCTACCAACATCCCTTAGTGCTCCAGGTAACTAAATTTCTATGTGGGGGTTTCACAATTGGAATGGGGGCGTCACACGCTATTTGTGATGGCTATGGAGCATCTCAATTCTTCAGAGCCTTAGCTGAACTTGCAAGTGGAAAAAGTGAGCCCTCTGTGAAACCTGTGTGGGATAGAGAGAGACTAGTTGGAACAATAACAAAGCAACCATTGCAAAGCCCCATGGATGAGGCTTGTGCTGCAGTTTCGCCGTTTCTGCCAACAACAGTTCTTATGCATGAATGCTCTAAAGTGGACAGTGAGAGCATAAGAAGACTCAAGATGAGTATGAAGAACGAAAGCTTCACAACTTTTGAATCACTTGCTGCCTATGTGTGGAGGTCAAGAGCCAGAGCCTTAAAACTGAGCTATGATGGGAAAACTATGTTAAACATCATAGTGGGAGTGAGACAGCACTTGCTGGATTCTCCTTTGCCTTATGGCTATTATGGGAATGCTATCGTGGATGCAAATGTTGTGCTAACAGTGAGGGAACTCAACGAACGACCACTATCAGAGATTGTGAAGCTCATCAAGGAGACCAAAAATGCTGCTTTTACCACTGATTATATCAGAAACACAATCAACACTTTGGAGACGAAACAAGTGGATCATAACATGGAAGGTATCGGTGCACTCATGACTTTGACTGAGTGGAAGCATTTGGGTTTCTTGGAAAAGGTAGATTTTGGATGGAAGGAACCTATAAATATAATACCCGCCCCATGCAACATGTTTGAGTCCGTGGATTTGTGCATTTTCGCATCTCCTAATAACTTTGATCCATCAATGAAAGGAGGAGTTAGGATTTTCTCATCCCTCCCTATTGCTGCCATGCCAAAGTTCAGAGAGGAGATGGAAGCTCTCAGGTTAATTAAACCCTAGCTAGGAAGGTAAATCAAAGAGGAACAAATGTATGGGATGTACTTCTTCTTCTTTCTTTTTTTCTCTTTCGTCACTTAACTGTATTGTTGCGCTCTGATGAGTCTATGGAGGTTATCGAGCATGGAAATATGTAAATTTTATATGTCTTTTTGTTGTGTCATTCCCACTGCAATATTTAAAGGTCAGTGTTACATTTATTATTAACAATTGATTTCACTTGCATCAATCAAGCGTTGTTGCAAGTTTCAATTGGTCAAATGCTGTTCCAAGTTTGAACTCGTTAATTTTCTATTGCTAGTAAACACTTCCCACTCACCGCCAATTCTAAACTATGGTGTTAAATGAATAATATAATATAAAATTTGGAAAATTATACTCTTATGTTACATAAGATTCATCTCTCGTGTTACACTCACATAAAAAGATGTGCCTCACTTTTTTTTTTCTTTTTTTAAAATTGATGGCCCCACTTAATTTATCTCACAACATAAGATAACTTCTCTCCTACAACATCAGATAAGTAAAGCCCATAAAACTTATAAAAGTGTCTCCATTTAAACTTTTGAGTTGAAATAAATTTCTTTAAGTGATATTTTTTTTTTTTTTGAAAAATAATTTCTTAAGTGATATTAGAACTTCTAAAACAGTCCATGTTTTATACCCGAAAAAATGGGCTTTCAATGTTGTAGGCCTGTAAATTGTTTACGGCTATAATCTTATGAGACTGTTGGTTTAGGGCATATGTTAAGAGATTAATATAATATAAAACTAATAAGAGTATATAAGTTGAAATGCTTCATGACATGTAGCAAATAATCCACCCATTTAACTTACGGTAAAAGATACGATATAAACGAAATGGTGGTAGAGTTGATGCATGGGATTTGAGTAGATAAGCGGTGAAAATATGTTTGATTATTTTTAATATCATATTTGGAAGGAATTAAAATCTTAATTTTATACTCGCCCTGAATCAGATTAATAGCGAATTGATAAATCGATGGAATATTAAAAAAAAAATGCCATATAGATTGTGCGTCAATGATGCAATCAGAGAGTTGAAGCAACAGATCAGCAAAAATAACAGTAAACATATAACAAAAGCTTGTTAAAATGCAGGGTTGACACATGCTCAACCAATAATGAAGACTGGAACGGTTTACCTTCCTTAAAATGTTAAATCTGCTGCGATCCCTAAACTTTTCTCTTTGTCTAACACCTCTCAGGCATTTCATCAAACAGCTTCTCCGCAACAGGCAGGTGAACACATCTCTACAAAGGGTATCTTCCTCGAACACCCTTTTGGAAGAATCAACGCTAGAACACTCAAAGTACGTGTGAATCAACGCATTCCGAACGAACACGTTTCGAGAAAAACCAAGCATGACCACATGGGCATGAACCTGAACCCCTTGTGCCATGCCCAAAGCGTTTTTATTCCTGCTCTTGCTGCACGCGTGCAACACGAAGGTGATGGTGTGCTAGTTGGGCTTCAGGAAACGACGGCGCATGGAGGAGTACTGTGCAAGGGACAGAGAAGGCCATGAGTTCCCCTTGACGTGGCAACGAATCATGGTGTTACTCAAAATAAAAGACATTTAAAATTACAAATTAAATATATTAAAAATTAATTTTAAATATAATCTCAAAAAATGTATTAAAACAGAAAATTTTTGTAATTACAAAAAAAATGCCTATAATAAACATAAAAGAATTTGAATTTTAAAAAATAACTGAAAATGACATATATCATTTTTTAAAACAGGGTAGGGTAAGAGATTAAATCAGTTTCAAAATAATACAATGTAATTTAGGGCTCATTTGCTGAAAAATATAAAAATAGATAGGATAAAAGTAGGATAACATATGGGCTTGATAAACTCATATTATATCTTGTATTTGATATACACTAGATAAGTTGTCTGAATAATGTTTATCTTATCCCAAGTTTAAGGCAAATTATATAGTGTAATTATATGATATAAATGGACCAAAATACTCTTTGTAATAGAATTTCATATGAGTTTTAAAAAATAATTTTTAAATATTTTTAGCTTATTAACACATCAAATTCTTATTTTAAATTATTAAAAATATTTAAAAGTCATAATTTTAAATAAAGATAAAGAGAAAGGTTATGCTTACAACTTTTTTTTACAACCTCTTACAACCATATCTTAACACCGTTTATTTTCGTCAATCAACAGTTATGATTTTCTCAAATTAAACTCATTAATTAATTATTAATTCACAATAAATAATAACCGTTGATTGGCAGAAATCAACGGTATTAAGATATGATTGTAAGAGGCTGTAAAAAGAAAAGGTTGTAAGTATAACCTTTATCTTAAATAAAATATATTAAAATGCATAAACAACTTACAATTTTTTAAAAAATAAAACAAATTATATCCTCAACAAATAAATTTTCAAACATTATGTATTATATATCTCAACACGCCCCTTCACACGAGAGCTCACTAGGCTTGAAGGGTGGACAATGCACAGGCCCACCTACATGTGCGAACAAAGAAATTCCACTTGAAAGAAAGTGGGGGGGGGGGGCGAGGATCGAACCCGCGACACCAAGGCTCTGATACAATGTAAAGAACCAATTCAACCCAAAAGCTTAAGTTGTTGGGTGAAGTTACATTAATGATTTTATATATCAACATGCGAAGAAAGAAATTCCACTAGAAAGAAAGTGGGGGCGGTGAGGATCGAATCCGGTACACCGAGGCTCTGATACCATGTAAATAACCAATTCAACCCAAAAGCTTAAGCTGTTGGATGAAGTTTTTGGGTGTTGATATATATCTCAACACATTAAGTTTTAAATTGATTATCAATATTTGTGGTCAGTGGTTATGGTTGTGGCAGCTAGTGCGGTGGGTGACTGATTGAATTGGTAATGGTATTAGTTGTGGAGACAAGTGGCAATTGGTGGTGGTGATGGGCATGAAGGCACTGGTAATAGTTAGTGACAATTGTGGTGACTTGCTGATAGCGGTGATGAGTGATGGCAATGATCATTGGGGTGATGGTGGTTAGTGGCGAAGATTGGTGCGATGGTGGCAGGTGAGGGTGGTTGGTGGAAGCGATGGTGGTGGTGACATTGACATGTGGCAATTATGGTGACTGATCGATGGCAATTATGGTTGGCGCATGGTGATTAAGGGTGGTGGTGGCGCCGTGGCGGCTAGTGGCGATGAAGTGGTTGTAGTCGATGGCAATGGTGACGGCTAGTAGCTCATGGCGATGGTGGTGGCAAGCTGATGGATGATAATGACAATAGGGGGTGGTAGAGATGATTAACGACGGATAGCGACGATAGTAGAGATTGGTTGGTACCTTCCCGTGTCCAACATTGTTTGTAGAAGTAAAGCATAGGATTATATTTGAAATGAAAGGAATATGACATGTCATTATACATATGCATTCCTAACCCAAGTCTCTTCTTAGGATAACTTATCTTATTGTGAACATGATAAAACGAACCAATAGAATAATTTTATCATATTTTATTAGTTCATCAAACAATAAATAAAAACAAATCTATGATATGGCGTTTTCTCTGCCCTAACCACCAAACATACCCTTAATATATAAATGTTGAGTTCCCCTAATTTTCTTTCTTGTCCTCTTTATGCCGTATAGCCATGTGCTACTCTCCTCAATTATTTAGCAGCCTCCTCCCACGTGATGGAGATGTGGGCCATGACTAATAATTCAATAGAGACGAAGAGCTTATCCCTTCTCCATATTTGTGTTTAGTCTTTTCAAAAACCAAAAAACCCATTCCATAGTTATTATTTTTTCTTCTGAGCGGTGTTAGTTTCTGTTGTGTGTTATCCCTGCTATGTTTTTTTAATGCTTTTCAGCGGTGGTTTATGTTCAAGAAAAATTTGAGGCAGGGGCCGGTCAAAAAATTGGGGTGTTCACATGAATTACTTACTGATTAGTTTAAATATAATATTTAATATTATTTCAAATTTGAAAATAATTTCAATTAAAGAAATCCCTAAATTAAATCAAATGAAAAATAGATAGTTTAAAATAAATAAATAATCTAAATATTATATTTGATAAACAAAATCATATTTGAAAGTGACTTTTTTAACAATGAAAACCTGACTGATGAAGAAAATCAATGAGTTTGTTTTTTCTGCAGTCAATGCAAATAAGTTATCTACGTTGAGCTTCAAATGACGTCATTTTGATGCAAAAATCAATGTATTTTTGTAATTATAATTTATTTCAAGTTTATAATAGTCTTATCGTTATAATTTTTTAATTTTTCAATCCAAATCGACGTCATTTTGGGAGTGAATATAGATAACTTATCTATATTCACTGTAGAAACATTAAAGCATATATATAAAGGAAAATATTTTTTTCATGTTGTAGGGAAATTATTATTTTTTACTAGTGACCCTTAAATTTTCGTGCAATATTTTTTTTTATTTTTTTATTTTTTAATAGATGTGAGCCACACATAAGATGTATCTATAATATGAGAAAAATTTCTCCTACTGCATAAGAAAATTGAAACCCATACACATAAAAGGAAAACATTTTTTCATGTTATAGAAGAATTATCTTCTCCTACCCATGACCTTTTAATTTTCGTGTAGTATTTTTTTTTAATAAATGTGAGCTTCACACAAGATGTGTCTATAACATGAGAAAATTGAAACCCATATACATAAAGAGCAAACATTTTCTCATATTGTAGGAGAAATATTTTCTCATATAAATGGCCCTTCAATTGTTGTGCAATATGTTTTTTATTTTTATTTAATAGATATAAGCCTTATATAATATATGTTTATAACACGAGCAAATTTTTTCCTATAGAATAATATTATTTATTAGTGACAAGACTATTTTTAATGATCTTGTAGTAGGTCTTTTTTAACATAATAAAAAGTGTGATATGAACTATAATGGATGTTAAGTAGATCATTTTGTTTTCCTATTATTCACCACGGATAATTGGGCTCTTTCATCAATTGGGTTTTTTTGTGATTTTAATTTATCAATTTGGTATTTGGTTCAAAGTATTTACGATTAGGGGGTCATTTAGTGACGTGAGGGGGACCTAGCGTCACTGAGTGTCGCTACCAACCCCTGCGTCACTCACACTTTTTATTTTTTATTTTATTTTTTTCTATTGAGAGTCGCCCCCTCCCCTGTGGCACTTATAGAATTGTGCCAAGTGGAACAATTTGGTTACTCATATGATCGTAAAATTTTGAAAAGTCATAACTTTTGACTCAAGTATCCAAATTAGATATTTTTTTTTTGATTTCACATAACTTTTCGAGATCTACGCAATGACATCTCATTTAACATATTTTATCTCTCACAAGCATAATTCAAATCTGTAAAAAAGTGTAATTAGTGTTCAAATTTGAACTATATTAATAGAAGATAAAATATATCAAATGAAGTGTCATTGGGTAGATCTCGAAAAGTTATGTGAAATAAAAAAAATCATCTGATTTGGATACCCGAGTCAAAAATTATGGCTTCCCGGAGTTTTACGGTAATAGGAGTAACCAAATTGTGTCATTTGGCACAATTTTGTGAGTGCCTTAGGGGAGGAGGTGGCACTTAATAGAAAAAATAAAAAATAAAATAAAAAAGTGTAAGTGACGAGAGGATTTGGTAGCAGCACTCAATGACACTTGGTTCCCCTCGCGTCACTAAATAATCACAATTCGTAAATACTTTGAACCAAATACTAAATTGGTAAATTAAAAGAATAAAAATTCCTCACGGGTGAAAGAGCCCGGATAATCGCGCACCTGTAGTACTGAATTTTCGCATCTTATAACTTTAATTTATTAGTTAATTAGTTATGTTAACAATTATGTAAGGGGATGATTTGTTAGTGTTAGATTAGATGTTCCATGTTGACGCTATCTCTTACTTCCTTGCCACTTTCTCTTTCTCCCCACCGTTTTCCATGGCATGTGATAAGACATCCCTCAAGCTTGACAATTGACATGAAAGAAGTTGTACTTGTGATTCCATCAAAACCCACACCTTCTTCTGTTCTTTCTATGTCTACACTTGACAATGACCTTTTAATGTATGTGATCCTAGCACTCTCAAAAGGTTTTGCTAACTAGACCCTGTTCATGTATGGGATCCAAGCACTCTCAAAAGGTTTTGCTTTATTATTATCCTGTTGTAGGTGGGCTAGTGAATCATTATGGAAAACTTAAAGCTATAATATGATAAATATTATATTCAAAAAAAAAAAAATTTATAGCATTGCAGATAAATTATTTATATTTATTCCTAAAATAATATTATTTTAGAATTAAAATATTTAAGAATTATAATTATAAAAATTATTATAATTTTGAAATAAATTAAAATTATAAAATTATCTTAATTTTCATCCCAAAATAACATTGTTTTGATGCAGATAACTTATTTGATTCACTGTATAAAAAATTAACCTAATTTTTATATGGGATTAATATTTCTTTTATTATAAGAGATAAAATTATCTACTGTAATCCTAAAATAATATTATTTTGAAATTTAGAATAAATAATAAAGATATTTTCAAAATTTTACTTTTTTATTATAACATATTATTTCACTAAAATATCTTTTATTTTTCTATTGCAATATATATTTTATTAAAATAATATTTATTTATTTATTCTAAATCCCAGGAAATAAGAGAAGAGAAACCTTAATCCCAGATGTATTTGTTGAGTGCAATTGTCTTTGGCTAATCATTATGCTGGGAACCACACGACACAGGCAGAACTGCAAAGGATGCAGCGACATTATTGTCAGCGATCAGTGTGGAACAAAATTTGGTGGTGGCAGCGTCGTTTGTTCACCACCATAGCTCGAAGCGATGAAAATGGTGGCAATTTACTTCCTGAAATGCCACACTTCAATCACACCCCAGCTCCCTATAGAGGGCCTTCAGCATCTGATCTCTTGAAGAGGAGAAAACAGTATCTCGCCACTTGCGTTAGCCCCTTATACAAAAACCCAGTAAGCAGTTTTTTGTCCATAGAGAGTGTTCTATCTAATATGAAGTGATTTTGTATAAAAAAAATTGTTTTTTTATGATATGGTGGCAGTTAAATCTGGTGGAGGGTAAAATGCAATACCTGTTTGATGAAAATGGTCGCAGATACCTTGATGCATTTGGTGGCATTGCCACTGTTTCATGTGGGCATTGCCACCCTGATGTGGTTGAAGCAACTGTTAACCAGATTAGGCTCTTGCAGCACACCACTGTCCTCTATTTGAACCGTGCTGTTGTTGATTTTGCTGAGGCTCTTGCTAATAAGTTCCCCGGGGAACTCAAGGTTTTTCTTTCGATTTTTTTGCTAGTTTCTTTTTTGGGGTTTGATAAATTTTTGCTTTCAAGCTTTGTGTTTTACTATATTGATGAAAATTTGTCAATTTTTCAGGTTGTTTTCTTCACAAATTCTGGGACAGAAGCCAATGAGCTAGCTTTGATGATTGCTCGGTTGTACACTGGTTGCCATGATATAATTTCCATCAGAAATGGCTACCATGGCAATGCAACCTCAACAATGAGTGCCACTGCTCACTTTGTTTACAAGTTCAATGTTGTACAGGTGCCATTTTTGCTACTGAATGATGGTTTTCTCTATTAAATCGTCAAAAAAGAAAAAAAAAATCCAACTTGCATCCACTCTTATATTTGTTAATGTCTCTATGCCAGTAGACTGGAATTCATCATGTCCTCAATCCAGACCCCTACAAAGGTGTCTTTGGTTCAGATGGAGTAAAGTATGCAAATGATGTTCAAGATATAATTGATTATGGAACTTGTGGTCATGTAGCTGGGTTTATTGCTGAAGCCATTCAGGTAATACTATTATTTATCATAATGGTACTTTGTCTCTCAACATTTGCTGGCATATTATTGAGTGAAAAGGTTCATGCTTGACAGGGAGTAGGTGGAGTGATAGAATTGGCTCCAGGTTACTTGCCTGCAGTTTATAGCATTATAAAAAAAGCAGGAGGTCTCTATATAGCAGATGAAGTTCAAGCAGGGTTTGGTAGAACTGGTAGTCACTTTTGGGGCTTTGAGGCACATGGAGTTGTCCCTGATATTGTAACATTGGCAAAGGTAACACTTCTTTCATGGTAAGGGGCACCGGAGATATTTTACAGTGGCCTCTTAAGGAATATATTAGGGTGGATAATGCACAGGTCCATCTAGTGAGGATCGAACTCATGACATCTTGGTCACTGTCTCTGATATCATATTAAATAATTTATTCAAACCAAAAGCTTAAACTGTTAAGTAAATGTCACTTTAATGATTTTATATTAGACTTCTTTAACAAGTATTCGCAAACAACATTCATTTATAGTATAAATAGTGTACCATTTCTTAGATTATGTGACTCTATATAAGACATGTATCTACTAGTACAAAGGAAATATACCTTAGCTCAAATAGTCAAATAATATTATGATACTCTACTTCTCAGGGAATTGGTAATGGAGCACCGATTGGTGCCGTAGTTACAACTCCTGAGATTGCAAAGGTCTTGACTTACCGTCATTTCTTTAGCACATTTGGGGGAAATCCTGTTTGTACTGCTGCTGGGTTAGCTGTTTTGAATGTAATTGAGAAGGATAAACTTCAGCAAAATGCATTTATTGTTGGATCATACTTAAAAGAGCGTCTTACTTCACTAATGGAAAAGCATGAAAGTAAGCTTCTTTTCTTTTTCAATTTTGGGTTTGTTGTTGGATTATGATGACTAACATCTTTTTTGGTGTCAGTAATTGGTGATGTAAGGGGAAGAGGAATGTTGCTTGGAGTTGAACTCGTGAAAGATCGTCAGTTGAAAACTCCTGCAAAAGCTGAAATGCTGCAGATCTCTGAACAGATGAAAGGTTTATTTCCTATTCATGACACAAATGAGTATACATGATTTGTGTATCTGGTTTGAACCTTGTGACACACAATTTTTTTTGTTAATATTACGGTTGCCATTATTTTTCAGATATGGGTGTGCTAATTGGGAAAGGTGGCTTTCATGCAAATGTTTTAAGGATTACACCCCCACTTTGCTTCACTAAGGAAGATGCAGGTTGATTGTCATGATTATCATCACCTTTTTCTTTGTCTTCCTAGTACTTTTGTTTTACGATGCTAATTCAGGCTATTTTCTCCGTAATTGTAGATTTTCTTGTAGACGTGATGGACTACACGATGTCAAAGATGTGAAGCCTATACCTTTCTAGTAATCTAGGATGATGCAGATTGCAGAACATGTTCTAACTCCGATTCCATCCTTGTAGTTTTTGTTTGAACTTTGAATAACATGTTCCATGCCTAATGTAAAACCAAAATTGATAGTTGTAGTTTGGGGGAACCGAACACAGGATTGTGACTTGTAAATTAGGCAAAACTTAGTAGTGGAAATCGGAGAACTATGACCTTGTGTCAAGAATTTGCTTGGACTATACTGTTTTAGCCAAAACTGTTTTACACTAAAATTATCCTGATTTTAATACGTCAAATGCAACTGAAAGTTAATGATCAATATATGATTATTCTGGAAAATTCACATACAGGGTCAGGAATCAGAAAATTGGAAGAGTGGTATACATTTGTTGAACTGAGTGAGTGGTACAATATTATGACAAAATCACCCTTGAATCAAGGTTCTAATGCAAATTACTCCATCCAACTTTAGATTGACAAATAGTTTCATATGAATTTAATTTTAATACTTAACACGCTTTAATTTCCATTATATGATAAAATGACACTATGATACTAATTTTGATAACTTACATGCATAAATATTTAATATGCAACATATAAATACATATAATTTAATTGATATTCATTCTCACTAAAAAAATGGCATTCATCCAAAAATGTAATTTTAATTTTTATAATTCACAATAATGGGTTATCATCATATGTTGAAAGTTTAATCGAGTAAACAATAGAACAAAAAAATAATTTTGCAGTTACTGAAGATAAGTTATCTGCATTTACTTCCAAAACGATATCGTTTTAGGATTGAAATATTAAAAAATTATAATTATATAAATTATAATAATTCTGAAATAAATTAAAATTATAAAAATACCATGATTTCTACTATAAAACGAAGTTGTATTGGGCACGACGTTGTATTGGACTTAATGCAGAAAAAGCGAATCCATAATAGAAAGGAAAACTACTTAAAATTAGTTTTTCACATATGAAAAGTCTACACGAGTTTTTATACTTAATTTAATGAATAAACGCATCAAAAGTTTTAATAAGTTAACTGTAAAATTAAAATTATAAAAAATTATTTGTCAAAAGAATCAAAACATCAAAATTTAAAAAGTAAACATCTCTCTTTTATCTTAAAATATCATACTTGGTGTTTACCAAAAATAAAATAAAAAATAAAAAATATCATACTTGGTAATTGGTATAGACCGGACTAGCACGATCCTGAACCGGTTTGGGTCTGATGAAGAAAACCTACAAATTGATCCTGAACCGATCCATTTAAGTATCTGGATTTTTTTTTTCAACGAACCGGTCAAACTCGCTCGACCCACTGACCTGACCGGTTTGGTTTGACCTTTTTTTTATATAATTAAAAATAAATTGATATATTGAATATCACAAAACGCCTCGTTTTATTGGTTCAGTTCAGTTACCCTAGCTCAGGCACTTCTATGGCGTTTTTCCTGGACTTTTGGAGGCTACAGAGTCTGCTTCTGGCAAATTGGTGAACACTACTCATTGTAGGTATGCATTCTTCGTTCAGATAAATACTGTATGATTTCCAATAAAATTGATGTTGGCTCTTCAGATATTTCATGTTTGGATTAATTGTAAAAGACAAGAACTTTGAGTCCAATTCCTACTAGAATTTGCAACATGTTTTTTATTATTATTATTATTATTATTATTATTATTGTATAATCTTCTTTTTTGGGGCAGGTAATTGCAGCTGAAGGGTTTAATACAAGGAATTTCTCTACCAAAAGCTTCTATATTATGGAGACTGAAGCTGACTCAATAGATAGCTCTCTCAGTCTGATCAAGCAAGGTGCTGAAGCTGTAAGTATAATCATTCCTTGGATTTGTAGAAGCAATTAACACCTACCCTTTATGTAAAAATTCGATCTTTTATTGTTTTATTGGTGCACCTAACTTGTAAGTGACTTGTCACTCCATGGATTTTTGGAAGCAATTGATTCCTACCCTTTGTGTAAAGTTTCAATCTTCTCTTGTTTAATTGTTCTGGTCACCTTTTTGGATATTTTTTGTTGATGAAATCACACTCACCCTGCTCGCCGGTTTATCTTGTTTTGCATACTTAGAGGAAATTTGAGCTGCAATAGTTGCAAATTCTTATGTTATTCCTCTTCTTGATGTTCAATTTTATAGAGGGTATTTGAGTCTTCTTTTGTGGGAAGGAGGTCTGTTATCAAGGAACGCTTCTCAAAGAAGTACAGGCATCCAACTTTGGATTCTAAATTGACACTCAAGCGCTTAAATGGGGTTAGATTTGGAAAAAGTTGCATTTTTTTTTTTTTTTATAAAAGAAAATTCTGATGAAGTTTTATATATTTAGTAGTGTTTCATTGCATGTCTTGAATGCTTTGTTTTGTACCAAACAATTTTGGAGCAGGAGGCCAGGTGCATGACCAAAGCAAGGCGACTTGGGGTTCGTACTCCAGTGCTGTATGCTGTGGATCCTGTGTTGCACACTTTAACATTTGAATATGTTGAGGGCCCTTCAGTCAAAGATGTATTTCTTGAATTTGGATCAGGAGGTGTTGTTAAAGAGCGACTCGACAATATTGCATCACAAATTGGTGATGCAATTGGAAAGTTACATGATGGTGGTCTTGTTCATGGTGATTTAACGACATCAAACATGTTACTAAAGAATGATACCAATCAGTTGGTGAGTTCATTTCTGTCTTATTAGGTCCACTAATATCCATCACACTTACTCACGTGTGTTACAGAAGTCAAGTATATTTTGTGTAGGTTCTTATTGACTTTGGTTTGAGCTTCACTTCAACTTTACCGGAAGATAAAGCTGTTGATTTGTATGTTCTGGAAAGAGCCCTTATTTCAATGCATTCTTCATGTGGGAATGTGGTAAGACAACTTCTCATTTTCCCTTTACTCCTAACTGTGATGCTATAAAATATCAAGGAGATGAGAACAGGATTTTATTTGTCTGTTATGAGAATTTGAATTTGAGTGCACTCTAGTGGTAAAACTTAGAATGTAAGCCTTCATACACTTGAATTTTCCATTATGGTGAATTACACTTAGTACTTTACCTCCCTAAACTTTCCTTCCAAATTAATTTTAGTACACCGAGTTTGAAGCCTTGCGCATATCTTCCTCAAGTTTCATAAACATACACTCTGGTTAATTTTTTTGTTAAAGCTGACAATGGAGAGGTCATCTTCCATGCCTGTGATTATTTTTTTGCTAAAAGATAACCAGCGCAATAAAGGCTTTTTCTAATGTCCTGTTTTCTACTGTTTACAATCAGGATTTTAAAGTTTGTACACTAAAGTTGTTATGGGCAAAAACATAGGAGATAAAGAACTAATTATACCTTTTCACTGAGCCCATGACATCAGAATTAAAGATTCTAGTAAGAGGGACCGAAAGCTTATTCTGCTATAATATGGTTTCTGCTTGGACAAACAGAAGTTATGAACAAGTAATAATTGACTGACATATTTTAATATTGAAATTTGTCTGGACAGATGGATCAGATACTCGCTGCATACCGCAAGTCGTCAAAGCAGTGGTCATCCACATTGAACAAGCTGGCACAAGGTGCTACCTTCCTTCTTATATTTGTTTAAAATTAAAACATTTTCTTTAATAAGTGTACTTACTTCCATACATTTTGACAACTTGTAGTGCGACAAAGAGGACGAAAGAGGACCATGGTTGGATGATCTTTGTGGAGTTTCATTTCCTTATATTGAGGTAAAAGAGAGAGATAACAACCAATGAATGTTATTGATGTAATTTTTATTTATCTTCTCTCTCTCTCTCTCTCTCTGTTTGCATATTTGTAATGAGCACATCTCTTCCAGTTTAAAAAAATGGGATGATTTTTGAACTTCTGACTGACATCTATTCCGGCTTCTATATGTGCAACTAACAAATCAATAATTGTTTGAAACTGTTCTGACTGTTTATGTTGATGTGTATACGTCTAAGGCTAAAAGGCTGTCCTTGTTACTATATTGGGTGAACCATCAATAATCAATAATCAATAATGATATGAAAAAGAAAAATGCATTCAGGAGTCCAATGGAACAAAAATTTATTTCTAAACAGTACTGTGGGAATACCCAAAACCATCATAAATGCAAGAAACACAATAGAAGACCTAGGTGAACAAGTTTTGAGAAGGAAAGCTCAATGGCCACTGTTTCTAGGCTTAAATATTGACTTGTGGAAAGTTTCCAAAATTCAAGTTATGCATAAATCAAGTTCTTAAAGATTAAAAACCTAACAAACGAAGCATAGAGATGCGTGAGAATTGTGTTGCCTCAGTCACAAAAATTAATCATCAGCTCGAAAGGAAATGGCGATGATGCAATCTCAATAATTTTCGTCTTAGAGATATATCCAATGAGAGGAAAAAATCATAACGGAAAATTTAACTTTTTATCACTGATATTTTTGGTTGTTGCCTTTTTTTCTTATTCATAGAATATCTTTTTTTTAAAAAATAAAAATAAAAATTTCTTCTCTATTTGAAGTGTCATCCTCAACCTCAAGCCTATTAGAGTTGAACGTCTTGAATTATCGTAAATGAAACATACAGCAGATCTAAATTTATTGAGACAAGATCAAAATAATCTTCATAATCTTCATCACCAAATTCTTACAAATTTTTATGTATCGAAAGAGCACCAAAGTCATCTTTGAGAGGGGTTTAAAGCCTTAGTCTTGGACCCACCCCGAATCAGATTAGTTGCGAAGCAATGAACCGATTGGAATATTTCAAAAAAAAAAAGAGCACCAAAGTTGGCAACTTAATTGTGTGCCTTAGTCCTGGACCCGCCCCGAATCAGATTAGTTGCGAAGCAATGAACCGATTGAAATATTTCAAAAAAAAAAAAAAAGCACCAAAGTTGGCAACTTAATTGTGTGCTACACTTTAAAATCTCGTTACCCTCCTAATCAAGGTGTCACTACTCACTTCCCAATTCCATTTCAGTCAGGGTCAACTTCTTCAAGCAATTCCATTTTTTTAAGATGGGATTGTAATGATTCCGATTTCACAAATGGATGGATAAGGCCAAAGGAGAGTTTCACAATCAATTCTATTTATGGATACGAATCAGATCCATCTCATCAAACTTAATATTATCATATCCTCAAATCTCTATTCCCCCCCCCCACATTTTTTTCAATGGCAAATTCCTTATATTTTTAATTGCGATGAACCGATTGAAATATTTAAAAAAAATTACTTAATACTAGGACAGTCGATTCTTTCACCTCTCAACTCTCCACCTGATGGAGAAAATTACTAATGACATGATACAAATGAAACAAATAACTTAATTGCATTTCATGAATGTTTTCTTTCATACTTCCCGCAAATATTGTACTTCATAGATTGGATTTCATCGGGTAATTTTACAGTTTTTATTCAATTAATTAATCAAACCAACTGCACCAACGCAATAGTTGACTTGATGTGAGTTGATTTAACTTTATTTATTATGTGATTTGCCTAAATTAACAATTGATTTTATATACTAGTTTCATAACATTTTTATCAGTATGTTTTATTTTCAAGAATGTTGGCTATGTTTCAATTTTGAAACCCATATTTAAACAAAATTCAAAAACTTTGAAACCCTAATATTTAATTATGCATAATAAACACAAATGTGAAAGATAATTGAAGCTCAAGTTTAACAACATTAATATCAAACTATATCGGAGTAAAAAGCTCAAACCATAATGTGGCATCTCAAACTATAATCATCCTTAATATTTTTTGTTATGGATAAGAATATCATATCCCAACTACCTACTAGAATATCTGGTGAGATATGGAATCAGCAACATCTCAACAACTCCAAACAGCCAAGGGATATAAGATAAGGATCACATCCCAACAGAAGGAGGTTGAATCCTACTACGATTGGGGGATCTCAAGAGGCACAAGCACTAGGAAGGTAATCCTATAAATAAGAGCCTAAGGACCCTAGGTAAACACTCAGAACACATTTACTACTTTCGCCCATGCTGTGCACACACTCACGCCTTGGCTATAAGCCTATTGCTTGTGCGCAGTGATTGGGACATCGGCTATAAGCCTAGTATACAGTTGATATACACTATCTCTGAGCGCATACCCTACGGTATAGCAATACGGTCTATCCAGGACTTAACATTGGCGTCATCTGTGGTAAACGATAAATTTCGACTCCCACTCCACGATGACGAACACACGTTCGACGTCTAGTACCTCCCAAATACCGCCGCGTCAACCACAGACTCAGCCTTATGGCATGCCTCAACACCAATCTGCACCAGAACAACCCCAATTGGAAGCAAACCCGGTGCTGGTTGAGGTACAGGTCGGAGAGGTCGAAACACAAGGACCGACTCCTAGACCCCAGCCGAATGCAACAATTGCTGCAGTTCGTCCACCTCCACACAGTAAGCCACCAAACGTGACCAACATGGCCATGGGAGCAATCCTTCAAAGGTTGCAAGAGATGGAAAACAGATTCCTGACCCAGCAGCGTATGGATGCCCAAAGGATGGCGACATTGGAGGCCGATCTGAGGACCTTGAACGCGGAAGGCCGGACTAGGGAAGCCGGAGGGGTCGTAAACGACCAACCTCAACAGCAACATGCCGAAGGCGTACATCAGAACGCCGAAGGCGTCCAGCATCAGAATGCTGAAGACCTCCAGCATCAAAACGTTGGAGATCGACCTAGAAGGCACAACAATGCTGGCGATGGAGGACCGCGGCAACAGAACGCGGCTACAGTCGAAGGAAACGCGCAGAATGGGCAGAACCTTAACCTCGGTAACAACCGGAATGGTGGTGGTCCGAACGACAACCAGGACGAAAATTATCTGGAGGATGAAAAGGCTAATGATAGCCCATTCACTGAGAGGCTCATGAACTTGGCCATACCGCCGAGATTCAAAAGCACTAGGATACCTCCATACGACGGAAGTCAGGACCCAGAAGCCCATTTAGAGGCTTTTAAAACCGAGATGCTATTCAACGGGATCACTGGACCTATTAAGGCCAGGATCTTTGCGACAACACTGACTGGTCAAGCAATGACCTGGATAACCAGGCTCCCTAGGAACTCAATCGACTCATTTGAGGACCTAGCTCGGACTTTCCGGCTTAACTTTGCAACAAGCAAAGTACATCCGATGCCAGCCTATGCTTTGGGAAGAATCCGACAGAAGGAGAACGAATCGCTGAGGAAGTACCTCGACCGATTTAAGGATGCCGCCCTCAAGGTACGAGGGTTAACTGAAGCAGTGCACCTCCACTTAATCATTTCGGGATTGGACGGTGGCTCCCCATTGGCGAGATCTATCTATAAGAACCCGGTGAACGATATGGAGGAGTTCAGGAGAAGGTCGGACAAATACATTGACGCGGAGGACATGCAAAAGGTTTATGTCGAATCACGAGGACAAAGCCCTACACGTCGGAGCCCGAGTAGGAAAAACAACAAAGACCGGGATCAGAAGAGATCCAAAAAAGCAAAGGACACTCGTGATAAAAGGTCGGAAGACCGATCACCAAGGAGGAGGTATGACGATTATACACCTTTGAACGTGTCCAGATCCAAGATATGGAAAGAGGTAGCACAGACCGAAATACGCAAGCTCGAGAGACCTCGACCCCTCAAAGCCAAGTTCGGATTAGATAGAAGCAAATACTGCGCATTCCACGACCAAAACGGTCACTTTACGGATGATTGCTGGGACCTCCGAGATGCAATTGAAAAGCACGTCAGGGAGGGAAAATTAAAGCAGTATATCATCCGAACACAGGGCAAGAAAAATAATAAGCGCAAGCAAAGAAGCCGAAGCCGAAGTCGAAGCCCAAAGAGAGAGGATCGAAAGGACCAAAGACAAGACCGACCTTCCAAAGGCAAAGAGGTCGATGAAAAGGACGAGGCTTTTCCTGAAGCCGAATTCGAATGCAACGTGATAAGTGGAGCTCTAAGTGGGGGAGGAGACTCGGCTAACGCCAGAAGAAGGTACCTAAAAGAGGTCATGTCTGTAAGAGACGGGCCGACATTCAAAGAAAAGGACACCGACATTCAAAGAAAAGGACAGCAAACCGGCTCCCCCGAGACTGTTCTTCACTCAGGAGGAACTAGCAATGGTTGTACCCGGACACACCGACGGATTGGTGATCACCGGAGTGCTAGTCAATTGCCGAGTGAAGAGAATCTTTATTGACCACGGAAGTTCAGCTGACATAATTCTCTGGGACGCTTTCCAGAGGATGAACCTGGACGAGAAGGACTTGAAACCATGTGTCACCGAGCTGGTCGGGTTCAACGGAGCGGCGTCCCCTCCAAAAGGCTACATCGACCTAAAGTTGACCTTGGGCACGAAGGACTCGTTCCGAGCTGGAAGGGTTCGTTTCGTTGTGGTGGACACCTCGTCTTCCTACAACGTAATCATTGGTCGGCCCACAATCCATGAATGAGATATGTTGATCTCCACAAAACATCAAGCATTGAAAATGCCTGGGATGAACAACGAGATCGTCACCATAAGAGGCGATCAAGAAGAATCAAGAAAGTGCTACTACGAGACTCTACGAGTCCATCATGGAGGTCCATCATCTCCAACTTGGCTTAAAGAAGGAGGAACTAAGGACCAATCACTGAAGACATGCGGAAGAGAGGTCAACTTGGTTGAACTCGATGTAAGAGAGGAGCTCTTGGCACCTCGTCCAGAACCCCAAGGAGAGTTGGAGGATGTCGATATTGCGAAAAACGGCAAAGGACACACCAAGGTGGGAAAAGACCTAAAAACCGACTTCAAAGAGGAGCTGGTTTCTTTGTTAAAGGAAAACCGCGATGTATTTGCTTGGAAAGATTCAGAAATCCCTGGAATAGACCCAACC